TAGAATGTGGCCCCCCCCCCCAGAAAAAGAGTAGAGGGTTCACCATCTTTCCTTCCCCACTCAGGGTCATGGAACAACTAAAACAACCCTGTGCCTTTAAAAGGGCACTGTTGAAAGAAACAAAATGGAATGTCTTTTAAAACATGGGAGATTAGGCTTCGCTGGCTACTTTCAGACTGATGACAATCGTGTCTAATTGAGTCCACTCTGCATCCTCGTGGACCGCCAGTGTTCTGCACCTGAAGGCTAAATTGCACTGGTTCAGCTCTCTTTTCTTGCCACATCTTTTAATTGCATATGGCCCCCCCCCCCCCAGAAAAAGAGTAGAGGGTTCACCATCTTTCCTTCCCCACTCAGGGTCATGGAACAACTAAAACAACCCTGTGCCTTTAAAAGGGCACTGTTGAAAGAAACAAAATGGAATGTCTTTTAAAACATGGGAGATTAGGCTTCGCTGGCTACTTTCAGACTGATGACAATCGTGTCTAATTGAGTCCACTCTGCATCCTCGTGGACCGCCAGTGTTCTGCACCTGAAGGCTAAATTGCACTGGTTCAGCTCTCTTTTCTTGCCACATCTTTTAATTGCATATCTATTTCTTCCTCCTTTCATTTACTTCTCTTCTCTCAAGAAATGAGGGAAATGAGACTGGCATCTTTATTGTTGGCTGTTAGTGATGATTAGGAGTTCTCATCATACGGTATTTTTTGAAAATGTTGCCTTCCTAGTTACACACCTGTGAAGTTTTACTGCAACTGCTCCAACTTACTTGTCTTAAAATAAACAAGGCAGTTTTGAAGAGTAGGCGGGGAGGCAGTTGGGCATAAGTTTCTAGGACGAGGGCTCATGCAAACGAAAGCAAGCGATCCTCATTTTTGGAGAAAAAGAAAAAAAAATGAATTTTGCCAACTAGAAACATTTTATGCTGCTTCCCCTGCTTCCTCGAATTCCAAAGAGATTAAATTTTGTTTTTTTTGTTTGTTTGTTTTTAATCCTGTGGAGGTTTTCGGTGGGGGGAAGGGGGGCTGGTTCCAGGTATGACAAAGCCAGTTTTTCTCTGGTGAGGACTCAGGGTCAGATTGGAAAAGATGACATATGGCCCCATCCCTCACCCCAATCCTCTCCTCCTACTGACAGCATCCACACACAGCCACAGAGGAGAAAACCTTCCCTTGGCACTGGAAGTACCCACCAATCTACAGCCACTCCTGATGCACCGCGGTTGACAAGCTGTCCTGGAGACGGACCGCCCACTTTAAGGTTCTCTACTCTTCTCACGTGACTTTCCCCGGCATAAGTAGAGGTCACCACCTCCTCCATGTGGAGAGCAAGTTGCTGGATTGGTGCAGAGACACATCCTTGAACTCATCCTTGGCCGTGGACTTGTCCCGAGTCCCAGAGGACACTTCCCACCCGGGTTCTGAGAACTGACTGACCAACCCGTGAAATGGATTGTCTAGCGTGAGGCATGCGTTTCAGAAGAAAGAGCCCCAGGCCTCTCTGTGATACACAGCCTGAACTTCCCTTCTGTTTAGTTGAATACAACTAGAGCAGAACAGCCACACGTCATCTCTCTGTATAAAGTAGGTGCACGTTTTGACCGCCACTCGCCTGTATGGCCTCCCTCCCCCAGTTAAAACGAGAATGAGAAAAACGAAACGCATTTTCTTCAACTCGCAGAAGACCGCATCAGGCACTTGACATTAAACTACTGAAAAACAAGCTTGGCCAGGGCCTTAACACTAGCGCTGGCATTGGAATTACTTTGGTGGGAATACATATTCACTTGGTCTTGGAAGGGGGAGGGTTTCAGAGTACCTACGTAGCTGAGTTCCCCTCACCTGATTTCCTGATAAGCCTTATTCGGTTTCCTTCCCATGTGCAAAACCTATGAAGAGCCACACGTCCTCAGAGACTTGATAATTCATTTTTTCCTCCTCTGCCCTAACCCCCGCCCCCATCACTGGCACCTCGAAAAAACTCTCTCCAGCAGGCCTCATCCATCCGCCTGCCATATGTAAAGTGAGTATGGATATTGTCTTTAGTACGCGTTTGCTGCTCTATATGCTTCAGAATGCTGGGTAACAGCTCCTGTCCTGTGGAGCCACCCCCACCAGAGGAACCCAAACAACCCAGAAGCTGGGGCACGTCTGTTGTGCAGAAGGGTTTTCTTTCCCACTGGCTCCGTTTCCTTGGGTCTTGTTTCCTTGGTCTTTATCCCAGACACGTGAGGATTAACGGCAGGAGTTTTTCCCTCTGAAACAGGGCTGGAACCAGTAACTACCAGACATGCTTCCCAGTAGCCAGTGGAAGAGGATGCACGGAGTTCCACAGTGAGTCTGAGACCCAGGCTCATTGTGCTGGGAAGGTTCCGGATCCTCCTGGCTGAAGGAGGATGGGGCCTTCCTCTAGATCAAGTCCCGGAGTGAGGAATATGCCCAGCTTGTCCATTTCAAGCACCGCGTTCTCCAAGACGGTATCGTCTCCACAGCCTCCACACTTCTGTTAGTTACTCCAAAGGAACAAGCGTATTACCAGCAGAACATTCACATGACACGTTAAACGCTCCTTCAGTGTCTGACACCAGCCCCGCTCCAGGAGCCCCGTGTGGTGACAGGTCTGAAACACTGATGTCCGACCTGTAATTCTGACTCCACGCCTGTTCTCGACTGTCCCTGGAACTTGAAATCCACACACTGCTTTCGGCACATCGTTTACGTTCCCCCAGTCTGGCTCCTGGCAACTCCGTGGGAAATGCAGATGTCTGTTTACAGCTGGAAAGTGTAATATTAATTTCATTCACGCCAGCTCTCTTACGGAAGCGCCCAGGTTTTTGTAGGCCAAGACAGCCTACGTGTGTGTGTGTGTCTCTCCACTGTGTACGTCATGTTCGTGTGCTGTAACGGACAAAAACAAAGAGGCCACATTTCAGAGGAAGCAGATCAATTAAGCATCGAAGGAACGGAACTCTGTGGAGCTGGTATTTCTCACGTTTTAGACTGTGGAGCTGAAAGAGTTTTCCAGCGGGTCTCCAGCGGGTCTGTGAGACAGTCACTGTTGATGTTCCTTCTTATCCTCAGCAGGTTTTTCCTTGTCCCCTGCAGCACGGGACAAGGGCACAGCCCTGCAGGTTTCCAATGCCATTCTCTCGCAACCCCGGCACACTTGCCGGCTGAGTCCTTCTTGTCCCAGGAGACAATACAGAAAGATCCGGTCAGCTCTTCTTTGTGTTCTGGAAAGATCTGCTCTGAACATGGAGAGCTGAGGGCATCCTTCCCCAAAGCTCCTGGAGAAGCAGCCTGTATCCGAGGAAATTGTGTGTCACTTTCCCCTTCTGTTTGCAGTGTTGTGTTAATCAAGTGCTTGGAAATTGTCAGTTGCTCAAGTGCCCTCAGCTCAGAAGAGCTTCCTGAAACATATACCAGCGTTGTCAACACACCCGCCATGTAATTGGCTTTCATCAGCTTTTTACTGGATAGTTTTCAAACAGATGAAACCAAAACTGGAGCAGAGAGGAGACAATAGCAGAAGTCATCCCACTCAGGTGGACGGCTCTCTTCACACTGCAGAGACAGAGGTGTGTTTTTTCTCTCACTTTCTTGCTATTAAGCAGAGTCCCATAGCTTCCTGACATGCACTTTCTTGAAAGGCTGAGAGAAACATGAATTTTGGCACCTTGTCCTTCCGGTAAGAAAGAAGAAACACGAAACTCATCGAGGCTTTGCCAAGGCTTATCTGCTTCCCAAGAAGGTGTTTCTCAATACACAGTCTCTGCTGGGAAGAGTGAGTGACCGATCATTCGATTGCTACTTTTGTCCATCTCTTACCAGTATCTGTTTTGGGTAGATGGGCTAGCACATTCCAGACAGTCCATGACATATTGCCTTGCTATGCTGTTAGCCTGTGAGATCATTGGCTTTCGCATGAGAAGCTGATAGGTCATTTTGAAGATGCCAATATCTGCAGAAGGTAGAGGAGACATGAATCCAGTGGAATAGACACAATATGGTTAGAGATTAATGTGGTGATGAATTGATAAGAGTGGGAAAAGAAATAGAAAGACACAGAAAGACGTGTTAGATAATTACACTGATAGATTGATAAATAAAGTAAATAGATTGCTAGAGAAGAAGATGGGTGGGGAGATAACTGGATGGAATGATCAGACGGTTGAGTAGATGGATAACCATATGATTACCTTCATAGAGAGCTTGAAAACCTAAGTAATCAGCCATCTACAGATCATTGTTTATGACCTGGACAGCATTTTCTTGAGAGAAGTACCATCCTCAAAATGCTTCCCCGTTTATTCGGTCACATGACTTCTAAATGTTTAGTTTTGGGTTGTGTGCCTATCCCTAAACTTCAAATCCCTACAGCTGGTAGAGAAAGCAGATAGGGCAGAATGGCTAAAAAGATGGCACTGTTTCATATATATTTAGAGAGAGAGAACTTCCCAGAAAGAAAGGATGTGAACCCTCGTGTAATTAGACAATAATAAACATGGAAGGAGTGATATGTACATTACAGTCAGGAAAATGGTCCAAAGCTTAAAAGACGCAGATAATAGGAAACTTGGATATAATTCTTGCTCTGCACTACATTATAAGTGAAGTTGTGTCTTCAGGGTGTTTATCACGAGGCACATTTTCTGCCCAGATGGAGCTTATGGTTTACTGGGGGGGTAGGGCTGGTGGTGACGGTGTTGGGAAGGCAGAGGAAAGGGAGGGGCCAAGGTAGAGGAACAGATTCCATTTTGGGACACACCAATGTATGATTATCCTACACATGGTAGAACCCTGCACACCCCTCCCCCCCAACCCCACTCATTCAAACTGGATAGAAAAATCAAATAAACAGACCAACCAACCAAAGAAAAAATCAAATCAAGAAGAACAGAAACAAACAAAAAGAAGCCCAAACTGGTTTGCTCTCCGCAGTGTAGGTAAAGTCTGTGATATGGAGAAGCAGGCGTTGCTCAGAAGACCTATGGTTTCTTATCAAAACTTGATGAAGAAGTGGGCAAAGAGGGTCCCTGATAGCCAGAGGCAACAAGCCAGCGCTCTAGAGGCCGAGTTTACACCATCAATGACAGCTCCAGGCCCTGTGTGGGAGAGAGAGACAGACCCATTAGTGTACACCCAGAGGGCACCATCCTCATCCCCTGACAAGCACCGCATAGACCTGCTTCTCTGTGAGCAGCTCCCACCCAACAGTGACCCTTCCAAGTCTGCGTAAATGGAAAGTGCCCACTGGGAGAAACGCAAAGGGGCTTATTGCTGGGGTGCCTGGACCCTACAGCCTGCTCTCAAAGACTGGGGTTTAAAAACTAAAAGAGGTAGAGGGAGGGAATGGTTAGACGTGCGGGCTGACAGGTTAGGGCAGGACCTTTGTAAGCAGCGCCTCTACCTGTGTTCTCTCCTTGGAAATCGTGTCCAGAACAGACGGGTGGGAGGGGCAGGAGAGGGATGAGGGTCAGAGTGGAGGGAAGAGGTGGGAGGAGGAAGGAGAGGAAGAGAAGGTTTTGTGAAACACAGGAGTCTAGGTGTTGGCGTGGCTGACTTTTCATCTGGTGAGACTGGGATATTGGGGCGGCGTCTCCCAAAGCCAAGCCGCTGAGGAAGAATGAATACGTACACCCAGAGTTTTAAAGACTCTGGTGGGGTTTATCCCCGCAGTCAGAGATGCGTCTCCAGAGGTGACAAAGATGACCCCCATCCTCAGACCCAACAGCCACCTTACGCCCCTGCCTGGCAGGCTCCCCCTCAACCTCTTTCTTTCTTCTTCCCTCTCTCTGGCCCTTTTACACAGCCCTCGTGAAACCCTCACATTCCGCCGTGAAATAAGACCACAGAATCACAGGTGTGATTCCTTTCCCTTCATCTGCATCCTTGAGAAGATGAACCATGTGCCCTGGGATCGCCTTGCCTGTTCCGAGGGCCCAGGGTAGAGGGCTGAGTGTCCAGCTCTGCCCCTGCACTCCTCCATCACCTTTATTTACCAGCATCAGAATTTAGGGTCATAAGCAAGACCAGAGTAGCCAGCGAGCAGGGAGCAGAGAGTATTCCGGGGAAAGCAAAACTAAGTGTTGGTCAGTGGATTAGAAGCAACCCTGTAGGGCCAGTGACAAAGGGCCGGAGTGACAGGCAAGAAACGCAGGGCTTCACCGCCTCCTTTACTAGTAAATTGGCTTGTTGGAAATAACTTTACTACTGAAAAAAGCCTCAGTGGTGCAGGGTCTCCTCAGACAGGAGCCAGGTCATGTGGCTTGCTGGTCATTGTAATGGCGCAGATCCAGGCCTTGCTGGGCGGGCAGTGATGCTGTCAGCCTGGGGATGGATGGTCCTCTCACTCCAGCGGCTGGCATTCAGCTGTTCACACCCCAGGGATCTCAACAAGATTCCTTTTCTTCCTTTGATTTACAATACAATTCTCTATTTACTAAAAATTCATATTTACTCGATAGATTGAGAGTCTTGGTCATAGTTTTCTGTACTTTTGTTATAGAGTATTTGCACACAAGGGCAGAGTCCAGTCCTTAGCCCATTGCTGTGGTCCCCACGACAGCTTCATAAATATTTATGGAAAGCAGCCTGACTCTGGGGCCCCATCAGTCCAGGCATATATCCTAGGAACTGTACTGGCCTACGGAATGTGCCCAGTTTGAAGCTCGGGGTAATTCTCTATGTCGTCTTCTGCCAAAGGTGAGTGATTTAGATTTTTAAATGAGTTTAAAAGGAAATGGGCAACACAGATGTATAAGACCCATATGTTTTTGTAAGGAATATTTAAAGTATAAAGTATATATATGATATATATTCACTAGTTATATATATACGTATATATATGCATGTGTGTGTGTCTTTGTCTAATTCATTATATTGACATCAACTTAAGAAACAATGGAATGACTCTAGATCTGTCCACCTCATTACAAATAACTCAATTTCGTTTCTTTTTATGGCTGAGTAATATTCCATTGTATATATGTGCCACATCTTCTTTATCCATTCATCCGACGATGGGCACTTAGGTTGTTTCCATCTCCGGGCTATTGTAAATAGAGCTGCAATGAACATTTTGGTACATGACTCTTTTTGAATTCTGGTTTCCTCAGGGTATATGCCCAGTAGTGGGATTGCTAGGTCATATGGTAGTTCTATTTGTAGTTTTTTAAGGAACCTCCACACTGTTCTCCATAGTGGCTGAACCAATTCACATTCCCACCAGCAGTGCAAGAGTGTTCCCTTTTCTCCACACCCTCTCCAGCATTTATTGTTTCTAGATTTTTTGATGATGGCCATTCTGACCGGTGTGAGATGATACCTCATTGTAGTTTTGTAGTGCATTTCTCTAATGATTAATGATGTTGAGCATTCTTTCATGTGTTTGTTGGCAGTCTGTATATCTTCTTTGGAGAAATGTCTATTTAGGTCTTCTGCCCATTTTTGGATTGGGTTGTTTATTTTTTTGTTATTGAGCTGCATGAGCTGCCTGTAAATTTTAGAGATTAATCCTTTGTCAGTTGATTCATTTGCAAATATTTTCTCCCATTCTGAGGGCTGTCTTTTGGTCTTGTTTATGGTTTCCTTTGCTGTGCAAAAGCTTTGAAGTTTCATTAGGTCCCATTTGTTTATTTTTGTTTTTATCTCCATTACTCTAGGAGATGGGTCAAGAAGGATCTTGCTGTGATTTATGTCATAGAGTGTTCTGCCTATGTTTTCCTCTAAGAGTTTGATAGTTTCTGGCCTTACATTGGGAGGGAGACAAAGAGGGAAGAGATGTGGGAACATATGTATATGTATAACTGACTCACTCTGTTATAAAGCAGAAACTAACACACCATTGTAAAGCAATTATACCCCAATAAAGATGTTAAAAAAAAAAAAAAAGAAACAATTGAATGGACTCCATTCTAGACAGGCGAGGCCTTTAGTTTAGGAATCACTTTACTCCAAGTTCTACCAGTGGGCTTAGCATTTCTGGGGGTGTCATGCTACCAGCACGTGGAGTATTAGGAAGAGGAAGCAGTGTGAGCTGCAGGGAAAGGAGGAGGAGGAGGAGTCCTCAGGATGGGAGGCAGCAGTGGCAGGAAGATGTTCACGCTGCTTAGGCAGGGGTGTTACAGCCTCAGCTCGCTTCAGCTGAGTTCTCCAAGGAGTGGAACTCTGAGGGGCCTCGCTAGGCAAAGAGCCTGCTCAGCCCGCTTGGGGGGATGAGATAAGGCATACTTAGATGGTGCTTTCTGCGCGGCAAACATGACTCTAAATGCTGAACATCTAATCCATTTTATCTTTATGAAACCCTATGGCATTCCTATTTTATAGATGGGGAATTGAGAAGCAGAGCAGGTAAGTACCCTGCCTATGGCCACGTAAGACAGTGCACCCAGAGCTGGATTAGAACTGAGTCACTCTGTCTACAGGGTTGGTGCCCTTGATTATCACAACTCTTACTTCCTCTCTGTGGAAAACAATCCTTTGTGCATGTTTTTCAGAGGCCACGGCATCATGGAATAATGGCCTGGGGATCTGGAGACCCAATTTCTCCATGTGACTCTGCTGCGTCCTAGCCGAGTGCCAGCTCCTCTCTGGCCTTGGTCCTCCCACCTGCAGTGAGAGGAGGCTGGGAGGGGTGACCTCTGAGCTCTTCTCCTTTGGTAGCCTGAGTTACTGAATGGCTGCAAACTCTGCATCCGGTCCCAGAAGGGACAGCTGGGGAGCAGCCAGATGGCCTTTTCCAGTGGTACAAAACCATCACCACTCCTGCTTTCTGCACCTCAGCATGCCATCTCCTGAGACAGCAAGAGGGCACCAAACGTTCCTAGACCCTAAAGTTTCCTTTTCTGTAGCCTCATTTTCTACGCATTTTCAGGAAATTTTATTCCTTAGCAGGTATTATAAGCCCTGCTTTAAGCATCAGATGACATGGCAATTTATTGTCAGAGTGCCTTTGGCCAATCAGTGTATGAGAAAGGGCTGAGCTATTCTGGCCAAAGAGTTTACCTAATCTACTAGGATAGAGATTAAACTAGCCTTGCTTTCCTCCTATGGATCCTGGACACATTTGAGATTTGGCAGTTGGGCCTACAGGAAGCGAGGGGCCTACAGGAAGGTTCTCGGGCTTTGTTCAAAGCTGGGAGAGAGTGGCTCACGTCCGTGTACCATACTCCAGGTTGGAAGAATGTTAAGACAAAG